GTGTGTGTGTGTGTGTGGAGTCTCCAGAGCAAGTCCATGAGCAAGTCGGACAAAAATGACTAACCATCATGCAACGCACTAGCAAGACGGCGATCGCAATTGCGCAGGTCTGCGTCGGTCTCGCTCGTCTCAAACAAGCCTAGTTTTTTATGTATTTATTCTCAAAGCACTTAAGATATTCATTGCTATCGGGATGTTAAGAGCATTCCATGGAATATAACAACAAGTGTATCTCGAGCCGGTTTCTCAAACGTACCTACCCCACCTTTAAGTGAGTGTGATGTTATGTTACATGTCTGTTTCCTTGTAGCTTGTCTCTATATTTGTCCTATTTCGAATGGAGTCCCTGTGAAGCAAGGAGTATTTCAGACTTGATCCGACAATTACGTTTCATCGTATCGTAACACTCAATCCAGCTTGTGATTAGACCCTTTTATCAGCTTAAACATGGTTTAACGCGTATTTCATTGGAGGTAAGCCATATCTCAAATATCCATTAAGAAGTGTTTTTGCCGTTGAATTTATGGACGTATTTTTTTCCTAGAGCGAATATCTTCCTCCTTTTTGCTCTTGAGTCCTTCAGCTCGGCTCATCAAGCTCCAAGCAGGCTTCACTTTAATACCCACACACACACGCTGCCTAAAAAAGCCGCCTCACCCCCCGGGCAGAAACACATATAGCAGAGCAGGAATCCACCGCTCTGACATTTCTTTCGCCACAAACCCGATGACGGGAAACCTTTAACGGCCTGAGGTCGGCTGAGAGGGAGATGCAGATCAATGGCAGTGTTTGGTTTGGAGAGGAGGGAGAAAAGCAACTGTGAGAGGGTTCATGTGCAGCGCTGTTTAGGTTTCTGAGTGTGTCTGTGCATATGCATGTCCCAAACTGTTTATGTATACGTTAAATAGGATCATGTACAGTGTCTCAAACTCTGCGAATGTTAGACTCTAAACAAATTGCCAGTGTCAACATTGTAAAGCTGCACAATAAACACACAAAGCTCATAAAAACTGCGGATTTCTGACTGAAAAACATACAAGTTGTAAAACTCGAAAACGCCTGAATGCTGAGTTAGACAATGCGGTGAAACTTTGCAATAACAAACAGTGCGAGGGATACAAGGGCGCAAGATCAAGGAAGATACGTCCGCAGTGTTTGGCTTTGCGGCGCTTTTAGTAAACGCTGGCGGTTTCATCAAGTTGTTGAATTTGCATGTGTTTCAGAACGTTTGTGTTTTTATATTTGCATTGTTTCTGAAGCTGCAGTGTTTCTCCTATGGAAATGTTCTGGGCGCTTGCAGCTGTCAGTCACCGTACGTTTGGGGGTTTAGAACACCTCTTTGTTGGTTGCTGATGCAAAACTACTGGACGAGACAAGCATCCACATATAAAGCTGTACGTTAAAGATCTTTGGGCTCTGGACGGTTTGTTGGACGAAGAGAAACATGAAACACGTCACTTCAGGCTCTGGGGGCTTCTGGTTCAAGGGTCATATTTAAAGGATGCTTGTTTGGCTTTAAAGGTCCCACGTCATGCTTCTCTGGTTCTCACCCGTCCCCTTGTGTGTTATGAAGGTTGTTCTGCATGTAACCGGTCTGCAGAGCCACAAACCCTCAAAGTACACCCTGTAGGGAGTAAAACTCTAACACAGAGAAGACCTGTCTATGCTGCCCCAGAACGCCTCGTTGGACATCTCTCTTTTTCCATTGTTTACTTCTTGGGTATAGTGACGTAACGTAACGGCTCCGCGGATTGGTCCGTTACGTTTGGACCAATCCGTGGACTTCCTCACACACACACACTCGGCGGGACGTTGCGAGGCTCGCTGCTGCGAGGAGCGGGACACTGTGAGCTGGCTCACTGGTGTGGGGTCGGCGAGACAGGGAGAACTCAGCCTGAGCACACACACAAACTCCCAGCCAGGCTGCGGGTGTGTGTGCGGGTGTGTGTTCGGGCTGGGTTTTGCTGTGTTTCGCTGTCTCACAGACGGCCACTGGGCTCACAGGGAAGGGGGGGGGCAGGAGCTCCAACAAGCTGTGTAGGACAGAGAGTAAATACACATACTATACGGAGACGCTGTTTGAGAAACCAATGTGAGTTTGGAACATTGAACAATGTACATCTATTCTAGTAGACCTCAACGATGGAACTATGATCAGTAGAAATGGCCGTGACATGGGAGCTTTGAGAAAGGCTAATTGGAAAGGAAATCTATAACCTATTTCACGGGCAATTATTCCACAATCTGCCCGACGAAGAGGCATTTGGTAAACATATTTTGAAATGTTATAATGCAAAGTCAGCGAGCATTTATTAATGACATCTTTCAGCATTTACTCCCAAGTCTTAATCTGACAAAGGCCACAAGACGCTGAGACACTAGAACACTGACTTGGTTCATGGAGGACAACTGTTACACAGTATTTAATCTACTTTTTGAAATAAAAGATGAGCTAAACCTGCAGTTAATTCCTTCTTTTGGTAAACCTCTAAACTCTGAAGCACGGTTGTTGTTGTTGTTGTTGTTGTTGTTGTTGCTCACCCGACAGCACCACCTCCACCAGGTCTCCTTCGTGGATCTCCTCCGCTGAGCTCAGTCTCTGAAGAATGTTCTCCGAGGTCAGGTCATGACGGAAGAGAAGGATCTTATCGAACATCCCAAAAAACCCACATTCAGGGAACTGAGGAAGAGGAGGAGGAGGAAGAGGGGGATGAGGAGGAGGAAGAAGAAAAGTTTGACATGTTGATTGAATGCAAGCAATTGTTTGAATATTGATCTTGTGCTTTAGATATAAAGTGTGATTTTTAACATTACGTAGGTTTTGTTCTCTGCTATGTTTGGCTTATTATTCAATTATGCCACACCATCATTTTACCATTTAAAATTGTTCCTAAAATAAACCATTACCTCATCTTTTCATCAGACGTGTAAAGAAACACTTTCGAGACAGAACTCTGCAGTTTCTCTTCTCTTAAATCTGTTTTCAGGCGTGTGTTTCAGTAAAATAAACATTATTCAAACCCAAGATCAACGACTGAAATAACATTTATTCCAAGTTAAAAAAAAGAAAAAAGAAGCTGTTTATTGTTCTCATACTGCAGCACCTCTTTTCACCCTCTGTCTGAAACCAGAGCCCAGTCTGCTCTGATTGGTTAGCTGGCCGGCTCTGCTTCTTGCCCAAACAAGTTGTTGTTTTTTTACAACATGAGTCATGGGTTTTATTTGGAAGGAGGATTTCCTCACAGTTCTGCAGAAAATAAATAACAAAGAGACGTGTGTGTGTGTGTGTGTGTGTGTGTGTGTGTGTGTGTGTGTGTGTGTGTGTGTGTGTGTGTGTGTGTGTGTGTGTGTGTGTGTGTGTGTGTGTGTGTGTGTGTGTGTGTGTAGTGTGTGTGTGTGTGTGTGTGTGTGTGTGTGTGTGTGTGTGTGTGTGTGTGTGTGTGTGTGTGTGTGTGTGTGGCCTCATCACCTGTTGCTCAGGTTTCCTGCAGCATGCTAACTGCACGCTGCTAACATCCTGCTAACACAGGAAGCTGCTTCACCTGCATGTGTGTGTGCAGGCTGCAGAGAAATCCAGAACACACACACACACACACACACACACA